TTAATAATTAATTAAATTCTTATTAATAATAAATGATAAAAATATTGATAATTTATTACTAATAAATATAATTATAAATTAATTGTTAATAAATATAAAAATTTTCTGATATATAATATAATATATAAAGTATTTTAATTATAAATTACTAATAATTATCAAAAACAAAAATAAATTTCATTTTTTAAAAATAATTCTATAAAATTATAAAAAATATTTAATTATATATATTTAAAAAACTATTAAAAATATAGTTTATATATATTGAATTAAATAATTACTATCAAAATATATTATAATATAATATAAAATATTAACTATATACTTCAAAATTTATAAATAAATAGCTTTGAGTTATATTATACTAAATAAAATATTATTATTAAAATTATTAAATTAATATTTTGTTATAAATTAATCTTTTAATATTTTAATTATAATTAATTTATTTACTTAAAGATATTATAATTTTTTTTGTGAAAAAAACAAAGTGAAAAATTTTTATTATTTTTATATTATTGTTTAGTTAAAATATTTAATAACTAGTATAGAGAATTAAAAATATTATTTGTTAATTAATTAGAATATTTTGTTAAATTAATATTATTCTAGTTTTTTTAATAATATTTATATAACAGAAGATTTTTAAATAGATCTCTTTTTATAATTATAAGAAAAGTTGATGGATCAAGTTAAGTTTATTATTAAAAAGATTATATATTATACTTATAATAAGTTCAAGATAGTTTTATTAATAAAGCTTTTTTATTACTATACTTTTTACTATTGCTATCTCAGTTAATGCTCTATATATAGACTATATAAATATATAATACAATAATAATAATATTAATAGACTATTCCAAGTCTATAATTAAAATTAAAAAGTAATTATAAGATATTTATAAGTGAACTTGTTAATTTTTAATTAAAACTTCTTATTAAACTTATTATTACAAAAATCTCTAAATATTTATAACACAAAATTAATAAAAATTCTATAGTTCAACAAATTAATAACTTAAAATATTAATAATTCGATTCTTCTAAAGATCAATAACTCAAATAATTAATAGTTCAAAATATCAAAAGTTCAATATATCTGTTATATTAATGCATAACTTATAAATAAATAATAAGTAAAATAAGTAACCAATAAAAATTTATAAAAATATAATTCAATAATAATATAGATAAATTATAATTAATAAAAATAAACTAATTAATTGTTCAATAAAAATATAATAAATAAAATATATTATAATACTAGTATAATTAATTAAAATTTTATATATAATTAAAATATTATAATTTTATTTCTTATATATTATTACTATTATAATATATTATATATTATTTAGCTATTTGTTAACATACTAGAATAAAAGATTAATTAGATAAATATAATATTAAAAAATTCAATATTTATCTATAATAATAAGATTTCTCTTATATAATAATAATATTTAACAAAAAATAATAATTATTATAAATCTAATTGATTTTTATTTAAGATATTTTAATTAGTTCTTTATTATAAATTAGATTTATATTATACATATACTTATATAGATTATTTTTGTTAAGATTTAGTATGTGTTTTATTTTTATAATTTAATTAATTTCTCTTATATATTTAATTTTTCTTTGTATTATATTGATATTATCTTGTACTATATTAAGAAAGTAATATAATATTGAGTAACTATAAAGGTAATCTCTCTTTTTTTTTCTTAGATAAGATTTTTATTATATTTTAATTGATTAATTATTTTTGATCATGTGAAAAATAAAATTTTTGAACTCTTTTTCTTCTCTTTCTTTTTGATAATTATAATATATATTACTCTTTTTAAGTTTAATTAGTTTTATTGTATAATAAAAAAAAGTACCAATAATATTTTAATATTGTTAATATCAGATTTAAATATGTAATACTTTGCAAATTAAAATAGTATTATGTGTTACTTATAATATATGACAATATATTAAATTTTTATTGATTCTTTTTGAAATTGAAATAGATATATAAGCAACATGTATCTTAATTTAGAATTATTATTAAGTTATAAAATTATAGTTTATTTTAATATTCTTTAATAAAATTTGATTGTGACTTATATTATTTTGATCTTTTAATTATATTATTTTAACAAGGAATCATTATTCATATTTTATTTATTATTTATATTATTTGCATTATTTATTTATTATTTGTATTATTATAATTTTTATTATTTGAAAATGCCAGGAAGATATTATTTTATTTTAATTTTTGTGTTGCTAATCTAAGAAAGACAACATTTATTTTTATTTTTATTTTTATATTTGTATTTTTATATAGCTATCATTAATTAATACTTTAGAAAAGCTTTGATAGCTATTATATTTATTTTCATATAATCATTATTACTAGTATTTTAATAATATTTATTTTAATTTTGTTAATTTCTTGTTAAAGTTATATTCAATCACATTATTTTATTATTTGATATTTGAATTATAAGTTTTGAGAGTTTAGTAGTCTGATCTTTTACATAAACACAGTTATTTACTATTTTCCAAAAATATCATCATAGATAATAACTCTGGAAATGGGAATAATATTTATTTATATTTTAAAACTATACAATTTCAGTAAAAATTGATATAAAACTTTAAATATATTTTTTTTATTATTTTTATATTTGTTTAATTCTCTCTTCTAATTTTTATTTATATTTATCAGCTAATTTCACAATTAGTAAAAAATATATAACAGCATCAAGCTAGATTTAAATATCTGTTTTTTGTATTTTTTGTATTTTTTCATTTTCTTGTACTGAATTTGTTTTGCCAAATTAACTAAAAATTTGCTATATTTCTATTGGTGCATTCTTATTAGTTAAATCAAATCAATATCCCGTAATAGTGACTTTTATTTTGTCATGGCTAGAATATTATTTTCAAAGTATATTATATATCAGAAAAGTTTGTACATATTAAGTATAATTTTGTCTTGAATTATAAATATCAACAATATATATTAATTTTTGGTTAAAGATCAAAGAATTTCTTATAAATTGTATGATGTTATTCTCTATATTGCACCAAAAATTATTGGAGAGAATTAATCGAAAAAATTGATATTTATAGTTTTAGTATTATTATGTGATCACTTGCAGCTGAACAAAAGCCATTTGCTGAGAGAGTGCATGACATCACATTAGCAATAGAGCACTGATTTAATATAGTTTTCTATCCCGCCCACATAAGGTATTATTATATCATCATATATCATATGGTAGCACATCTGGAATGTGTGCCAGGTTCGTGTCGCAGTTCAATAAGAATGCGATTTACTGGTGACACAGACCGATAAGGATGTGCGAATTTTTGATCAGCCGGCGAAAATACGGGAAATGGATGTTCAAATCTAACTCGGAGTACTAATAAAAAATGTCGGTGAGGCAATTTACTTATAACCTTGATCTCCACTCTAACCCTAACCCTAACTCTATATCAACTTTTGGGTAATTTATGGCTGCGGCACGAATCTGGCACACATTCCAGATGTTCCATATGGACGTAATCTTTTTGAAGTTATTACCTAATAAATATCAGTGCTCTAATGTTAGTTTTTAATTTCTTCTTAGCAATCAAGATTATTTTTTGATTTGTTTCTTTTTATGTTTACTATTCATGTAAATATAAAATCTGTTTAATTTTTATTGAGATAGGTTTTTTCGTTTAATTTTTTATTCGTTTTTCGTCAATTTACGTTTTTCGCCATATATTTCGTTCTCGCATTCATTTTTAGTATTCAGTTTTCTTTTAATCTCGACAATTTCTTTTCTAATCTTAAGTTTATTTTAAAAGCATTTAACGTCATATGTAAAATAGTTAATGTGGTTATATTCGATTTTATTTTATCAAGATGTCAGATCCACTTTATTAAGGGTCATTTGACTGTATATAATAAATATATAGAGAATAGATATATATTTATAGAACAAGTATATTCTTGCAACTAGCACTAAGATGTATTTAAAAAAAGAGTGTGGCTTTAATTGCTTATACATGTAAAAATCGATTTCATCAAATGCGATGTTACATAAAATTTTATTAGTCACAACCTCTTAGCCATTAGTCGTTATATTGCGATTTTATTATATCGAGATTAAGGGGCATTTGACTGTATACATAATAAATGTTAATTGCTTGCAGAAAGTGTTTATAATATGATTTTTGTAACGCATTTATACTAGATTTTAGGGAAATTGGTAAATAGTAATTATGCATATTAAAGAGAAAGCAGAATGAACATGCGTTATTTTTGCATAGGCCAATCGTGACACGACTATCTAAACAAAGACTACGAACAATGTTTAGTTTTTGAAAAGTTCTATATACTGTTTTGATAAAAATAAAATTGAAAATAGTGCATTACTTTTTTGTAACCACAAATATGAGAAAAATAAAAAAATTTAACTGTTAGTTTTCTTTCACAAGATTGGCACCAAGCAAATTTGTTCTAATCTTTCACAATCAAAACATTTTTTATGATTCAGGACGAAATTAATTTTCAAATCAAGAAAAAAAAGCTAACACGATGCTACACAAAATTTTATTTGTCGCCCAATAAAAAATTTAAATATTCGGCGAAAACTAAATATTTTGAATAATTGTTTCCTATAGAATATATTGATTACAATCATATTATATCATATCATATCATATCAAAACGATTACTTATATTGAATTTCGGCATCACTAGTGTGTTTTTTGCTAATTGTGCAACTGTAATAATCTATATATATATATTCACCTTCCAACATATAGTCAGACCTTGTTATAACGAACTCTGGTTATAATGACGTATCTCGATATAACGAAGTTTGAATTTAGTAATTCGTTATAAAAAGTATAGTAAACCTTGATATAACGAAGATTCCAAAAAATTTACTAATAGTCCGGCCACCTTTGTTATATCCATCCAGTTTTGACTATATCTAAACAAAATGGATAACTATACACAGAAAGATATTGTGAAAGCGAACATTGAAATTGAAAATGTTAATATCGGCAACGACAACAATAAAAGTATCAATAGTTCTAGCTCTACACCAATTACACAACAGCAAGAAGTCCCGAACATCAATATAACAACAATGCCACCATCAATGTCAACCAATTCAACGCGTACTGCACGATTAGAGATAATAGGAATGACGTGTGCATCATTTGTTTGCTCAGTACAAACAGCAATAGAAGGCTTGGATGGAGTGGAAAACGCACAAGTGAATGCACTCACCAGTGAAGCAATGATAAAATACAATCAATATAAAATTGGTACGCGTGAATTAGTTGAAGCAATCACCGAAGTTGGGTTTGATGCTAAAATAATACCGTCAACCACAAAATATAATAATCTCGGAAACGCGATACGAGAACGTGCAGAAAGAGAGCAACGACGATTAAAAGATCGATTTATTATGTCACTTTGGTTCGCTATACCCACTTTCATAATTTCAATGATATTTATGACTGCTCTACCAACCTCCAATGATGTACGCATGGCATTCATGAAACAAATCATACCGGGATTAGAAGTGGGAGCATCGATACTTTTCTTATTGGCAACACCCGTTCAATTCTATCTCGGTGGTCCACTCTATGTGAAAGCATGGAAATCATTATATTATGCGCGCGTTGCAGATATGGATACACTAGTGACAATCGGCACGACAATCGCTTATATCGGATCAATTGTGAATGTTGTTGTTCCAGTAGCATATAAAGATCAACCAAGGCAACAGTTCTTCGAAACTAGTGTTTTATTAATCACGTTTATTTTACTGGGAAGATGGGTTGAAGCAAAAGCAAAGGGAAAAATATTCGAGGTTATATCGAACTTGATGGAATTACAACCAGATAAAGCAATTTTGGTGAAATTTAACCAAAATGGGAAAGCTGATGAACATGAAATCGATTCGGATTTAATTCAAAGCAAGTTATTTGATACATATTGATATATATTATTAAATTCTAATTTAGAGTTACGTTTAACCATTTTTTTTTATAATTTTAGTCGATGATATAATTAAAGTAAATGCGGGAGGAAGAATTCCATGCGATGGTTAGTTAGCATTAAATTAATTCTAATTTTTGGTTACTTATGTTGCAATATTAACCGAATACTCAATTAATTAGGGAAAATAAATCGTGGAGCAACGACATTAGATGAGTCAACGATAACTGGTGAATCAATTCCCGTATCAAAAGGAGTTGGCGATATCGTAATAAGCGCAACAGTAAATCAAACATCAACAATCTGGGTAAAAGCGACAAGAGTTGGCACAGATACAACAATATCACGTATAATAAATCTCGTTCAAGAAGCACAATCAAGTAAAAAAACACCGATCGAAGAATTCTCCGATAAAATATCTCACATATTTGTCCCAGTTATAGCATTTTTTGTGTTTATAGTATGGGTTGGATGTGGTGGAACTGGTAGAATCCCGAGTGATTGGTTGGGCAAAAATCAAAATTATGTGATGTTTTCATTATTTTTTGCTATTTCTGCGATGGTAGTAGCATCTCATTGTGCGATGGGTCTTGTTTCACTAACTGCGATCATGGTAGGCACAGGAATAGCAGCAAAACTCGGAATATTGATAAAAGGAGGAGAAGTAATTGAACTAGCAAATAAGGTGGATGTGATTGCATTGGCTAAAACGGGAACTTTGACTTTTGGTAAACCAAAAGTTATCGACGCGAATTTTATTGATGATCCTAAAGAACCATTGGAAAATGCACGACAACGTGAACAAGTATTAATGCGGATTATCAGTTTAGTTGAATCGTCAAGTGATCATCCATTAGCAAAAGCTGTTTCTCAATATATCGAGGATAGAAACACCATTGATCTTGAAACAGCCACGCCCGTTCCCGACTTACCATCGAGCAACGTGACACTAGAGACTGTTACAGAAGTACCCGGTAAAGGACTCGAAGCAAGAGTAAAAGTTGATCTCGCATCCCCGAATTCTGGTTCGGATTCAGACCACGGCACAACTTCATTATATTATAATGTGTTCATTGGGAATGAAATATGGTTAAGTGAAAATACTTGCATTTATCCGTCTCCTGAAATAGATCAAGAAGCGAAAAAAACGCTGCGGAATTGGAAGTCAAGCGGTTCTTCGATCATGTTGGTTGGATTGAGAAAGCCATCAGAGAAGATAAGTGGATCGATACTGGCTCAGTTTGCTGTGACGGATACACTGAGACCAGATGCAAAGAAAACTGTTGCAGCATTGAAATCACGGGGAATTGATATTTGGATGATTACTGGTGATAATCCGATCACTGCAAAGGCAATTGCAGTACAAGTTGGCATTGAGAATGTGTTGGCAGAAGTATCACCAGAAATGAAAGCGGAAAAAGTTAAGTGGCTACAAAGGCGCGGTGCCAACATCTCCAGACTACAATTCTGGAAACAACAACGACGACGACGTGCTATTGTCGCAATGATCGGTGACGATTCATCTGCACTAACACAATCAGATTTACCGATTTCAATAGCAAGTGTCACCAATGTTTCTATTGAATCATCATCAATTATCCTTACAAAGCTAACTCTCTCATCACTTGTTACTCTAATCGCATTGTCAAATTCCATAATACGTCGTATTCGATTGAATTTCTTGTGGGCTTATCTTTATAATACATTGGCTATAGCGGTCGGTGTTTTTTTCCCAATTTTTCATTTCGCTTTAAGACCTGAAATTGCAGGACTAGCGATAGCTGCGAGTTCCACAAGTGTTGTTTTGAGCAGTTTATGGTTGAAGCACTTTAAAGAACCTTTAGTGCCCGAAATTAGTCCCCAAGGTTGGGCAATATCAAATATCCAGTCATTTTAACTGGACGTAATTAGATAATTAATACATGAATTTTTATTACCTCTACGTAGCACGTTATTTTTCATTCATTCGTTACATTACGTCGTTCGGTTCGGTTCTGTTCTTGTTCTTGTTCTTGTTCTTGTTCTTGTTCTAGCTTCTTATGTTTTAATATTATTCTAATAGCATTCGTGAACTTTTTATATTGATTTCGTGTGTTTTTATTTGTTAAGTAATCTTTTTTTCGGCAATAGCGATAGATTTATTTTATTAAATAATTAGTATGATAGAAAAAGTTTTTGATTTTTAAGCTTTTATATTATTATGTTTATTTTTCAATTTTAAGCTTTAGTTACAGCCCGCACGAAAATTACACAAAAAAATTCAATTATACCTCTGAGTAGGAACCATGCCATTAAAAAACCAACATTTTCCTTCCATGTCAACGCAGACTTGAATGCTATTTGACATGTCAAAAAAATTATAAGGACTTTTAATGTTATTTCAATTTACTCTTCACGATTTTTACTAAATAACATATATAAACCGAATATTTGGGGCAATACCAATAGAAACTAAGGAATTCGACATCTCGGGTTTTTTTCAATTTTGAATCAATCAGATATAGCTTTTCATAAGGAATCTTTTTTATTTAAAAATTGAATGACTTATCTGCATCAGAAACGCAGATTTTAGAATGTCTTAAAATGCCATTATTTAGTGTATTTTTACTTATAAAAATTATATTAAATTAGTAAACTAAAAAGTTAATAAAAATTTCAAGTCATTTGATTAGAATCAAAAGACTTTACTACATCAGAAACTCTCATTCATTTACGAACTACCAATTAACGTTAAGTGAAATATTTATAAAAAATTTTTAAAATTCTAAAATCCCATATAATATATAATTATTCATTATTTTGATACTGAAAGTGTTTCACAAAGTAAAAAATACAAAATTTTAAATAAAGATAATTTAAAATATAACCAATAAAAATAATTATATTTTAAAAAGAAATTCACTAAAACAAATGATATTGAATATATATGTGATAAAGATTCTTAATCATATTATAATTATATTACTATATTTTTATTAGTAATTGAATACTTGGATTAATTAATTGGATAACTATATTAGTAATTATATTTAATTTTATTATATATTTAATATTGAGATTTTTACAAAATCTATTTATAAACTTGGAATATATTCAAAAATTTCTATACTAAAATCTTTTATTTGAATAATAAAGAAAAAATTAATTAAAAGATAATAGAACATTAGAAAATGAAAAATTGTAATCTAAAATAATAATTTAACTTTAATATAAAGAAAAATAGAAAATATTATTAATTTAACTTGTATTTGTGTTGTACTAAATACAGTGATGCGTTAAAGCGTAATACTCATGTGATCTGACACGGGATAATGTGGCTGATATTCATTTTGGAAAGCGATCTGTCACTGTAGTCAGAGATCAATTTTCTGAGTGTGTAATGTGATCTATAATAAATATCAAAACAATCTTTTTGCTTTACACTGACTCGTGCGTATCTACAAATTTACTTGCAATATTTTGAAAGAGCTATTTCTTTATAATGCTGCTGGTGACATGTTCTTGGTAGTCAGAATTTCAATGTAAAAAGCGTAATGTGTTGAGCAAAGTATTTTTTTTAATGTTTTAATGTTGAACAAAGTATTTTTTTTTGTACTAACGAACTAGATTCATTTCTTGTTGATTATTCATAACAATCAATATAACAAATGATTTCTTAAAAATGAAAGAATAGTGAGTTTGTAATTAATAATGTTTGCTTAATCATTTTTATATAGTGAACACAACACTCTTTAAGATAACATCTCATTATAATAACACAAAATCTCTTCTCCTAATCATGTTATTGTATCCAGTGTTCACTATACTTTGATTTTGGTGTTTGGAAAATCTCACAACTTCAAATCAAAAAAAAGTGCATCCTCCCTTTCAATCAACTTGAAATCTGCTTATTATTTCATTCAAGAAGACTCAATCTGAATTTAATTAATAATTATTTAATATTATTGTAAAAAAATCATTATTGTAAAAAATCACTTAATATTATGTAATAGTAATAATAAAACCAATTAAAATATAATAATAAATATATTAATTTAAAACTGATTCTAAACTTATTTTCAATTTTTTCATAAATAAAATTGTTTGATCAATGTTTCCCTCCTTCTTAACTCACCAATATGTATCTCTCATTATTTCCATTAACTCATTTACGGTCTGTCATCGATTTTTGACCATTCTCTCACTTTCAGTTTTAGATGTCATTATCTCTTCTAACTCGTGATACTCATATATTTCAAACCTATCCTCTTTAAACATTTGCTGAAAATTTTCTCAAACACTAGTTGTTAACAATTTCCTGGCTCCATAAATATGCTCGTGAAAAATGTGTTGACAGGGTAACTGATATTTATGGAAGAACAGGCAATAGCAATTAGACGACATTAAACCAGATGTCACTTTGTCATGTTTTATCCTCTTTTCAACAGCACAGGCTTCATTAATGATTATTTGTTGAATGAGGAAAGAGAACTTGTGAATTTCATCAAGAATTTCACAGTCGATATCAATAACAGAAATCTTCCTAATACGAAATTCAAAGATAGTGTACTCAGAGTCTGAATGCTTCTTCGTATCAAGTAAAATAATGTGATAGCATGCGTTTAGAAATAAAAAATTTATTAGAATTAGTTTGATATGTTCACGTAATGAATGAAGAATAGTATCACAATCACTAGCAGCATAATCCAATTGCTAGCTCGCAAAAAGTTTCTTGCTGGTAGGATTATTTTTTAAAAACTTTCAGAATACAATTGCATAACAAATAGAGAAGATTAATAATCTGATCATATAATGAACAAAGAAGAGTATTATGTAATCAATAGAGAAGACTAGCAACATCAATAGAGAAGACTAGTAATATGACCATGTAACCAATAGAGAATATTAATAACGTGATCACATAATCAATGGAGAAGATTAACAACGTGATCGTATAATCAATAAAAAAGAATAGTAATATGATCACGTAATTGATAGAGAAGATTAGTAATGTAATCATATAATCAATAGAGAAGACTGGTAATATGACCGCTGTTACGGCCCGAAATTATCCTTAATTCCTTAATTTCTTAATTCTGATCATGTGACTCAACATAGATTGTAGAGATAGCAGAGATAGCAG